AACTGAGGTGAGAAGCAAAAGTATTAGCAAGTTGTAGAGAAAAAAATTTATAAATAAAAAATAATAACAACAACAGCAAAGCCACAAAACCGCCCAAAATTGGCAAGGAGCACATTGGTAAAAAAAAATCGCAAAGCCAAGTGATAAAAGCAAAGCAGACAGCCAGCCAACTATGAAATGAAGCGCAAAATGACTGTGAAATGCGCCAGCGCACAGCAAATAATCAGCAGCAGCAACAACAACAATATAAGCAATAATAAAAAAATAATAAGGCTGTCCGCACGGGATCTTTTTGCTTACTGTCCGAGACGCAGAGGCATAAAAATTAAAACCAAATGATGAGTTAGTGATAAGCAAGGCAAGAAAACTACAAAAACACAAAATAAAGCGACGTTAACCTCGGCTGCAACGAAGCTATAATACCCTGCACAGATGCATTTCTTATAGCCTGAAAGGGTATAAAAAAAATGTATCTTAATTTCGAGCGGTCAGTTTGTATAGCAGCTATATGCTATAGTTATTTGATGTTGAACGTCTAGCTTGTACGGCAGCTATAACTTATTGTGGTCCGAGATATTGGCGGTTCCAACAAATAAGCAGCTTCTTGAGAAAAATAAAAAGAACGGGTGCAAAGTTCCATAACGTTATCGCAACTGAGGGACTACAGGTACTAGTAATCGCTAATCATTAATATATTATATATACACACTTTATAGAGTTCCTTCTAGATGTTAAAACATCCGTGGCAATTATATAATATACTCTGCTAAGGGTATAAAAAATTAGAATACAAAACCACAACAAACAAATAAAGACAAAGCAGCAGCATTGTATGCTGTGAAATGAGTTAAATAAAGTCAAAAGGTAAAAAGTGGAGAAGAGCCGAGTGCGTGGCCGCAGCGCTGAATCAAGTTGAGTGGAGTGGGCTTGAGTTCAACGCTGCAGCAGCCACGGTAGTTCATTTTAGCAGCCAAAGCAAGTGGCGTGCGAATTGCTAGTGGTGGTGGCTTAAAGCTCTTGCTATTGCTGCCACCGCTGCTGTTGGCTTCCTTTTATTTTAAGTTTATATACTTTTTTAATTCTTAATAAGTTTCTGCTCGCGCCTATAGGATGACGCTGAACAGCTAGCCGACCAGCCGGCTAGCCAGGCAGCCAGCATGCAAGAAGTGTATCAATCTCTTAATCAGATTGCATGTCCACTAATTCGTTCGCCAGTCGCACTGAACAAAAGCGTTGCAGCGCTCATAATGCCGCATTTGCCACATTTTTTATTGTTGTTGTACGTTTTTATTTATTTATTTTTTTTTTTCATTAGCCGCGCGCACAGCTGCTGCTGCTTTTGAAGGCGTTCCATAGCGATTCTTTGTTATTGTATTTTTGGTGACGTTCCGTTTTTATGCACAACAATTCAATGTCAGTTATTATTGCGATTGTTGTTTGTTGTTGCTTTGGTTTTTTGCTGCAGTAATTTGTAGCAAAATTAATGTGTCTTCAGATTAGTGGTGTGGTCAATTTGTGTGCACGGGCAATTATATTTAGTTAACAGTATTGTATTATAAACACAATTAACTCGTAGTTAGAAGAGGTTCACTTGAAAAAGGGGGGAACATCGAATATTCTTAGGGAAGTAGAAAAGCAATAAATAAACTTTGAAAATAGATTGTCAGCCTGTGGTCAAAGTTGGAGAGCAGGGCCTGTCCAATATCCCAAAATGTAACATTACGGTTAGGTAACCTTAGTGCACCACTTATACCCCGCCCAACCTAACTCTCCCTAACTTAATCCAACTTAACATAACTTAACGTAATGTAAGTTAATTTAAGTATAGGTTTTCGCTTTCTTGAACTAAAACTCACTTGGTTGAAGTAATAACGTAGTTTTTGCTGAAGTTCGTAGCTTAAGTCTTTTGATTTAGCGTCTTACTTTATTATTTTTACATTTATAAGGTTGATATTTATACACTGTACAGAGTATATTAAGTTTGCCATGATGTTTGTTACACCCAGAAAGAAACGTCTCAAACTCTATAAAGTATATATATCGGGTTTTCCAATAGGGATGATACGATTTCGTAGTGTCGCTTCGGTCATTTTTAATATGTCATGATCTGTAATTTTTTTCATTGTATTCAGTAATGTTTTCAATTTCATCATGAAAAGATATACGTAAGAAACGCGTTTAAAAATTATTCAATATTCTTATTAAAATAATCGTTCTTCAATTGCAATTTTTTTTAAGAAAATCACCTCACTTTTATCTAAGTGGTGCGGTAAATAAACAAAACTGTTGATCAAATTATTCATGCACAATCTTTACATTCACCTAAATTGACAGTTTGGTGTGGTTTTTGGTCTGGTGGAATCATCAGTCCGTACTTCTTTCGAAATGAAGCTGGTGACACCGTTACTGTCAATGGAGAGTGGTAGAGAGCGCTGATAGTCAACTTTTTATGGCCGCAATTGGAAGAAGTTGTTCTTGATTAAACAACGTGGCTATAAGAAATGTGTCTGTGTAGATTATTGTAACTTCGGAGTAGCCGAAGCTAGCGTTCTTTCTTGTTTTCGTTCGTTTTCAGAAACATTGGTCACTATAGACGAGTCGCAATTATTATTTCTAGGTTCAGTCTAATTTATAATAATAATAAAAATAAGTAACTAGCAATTTTTCTGAGATTTAAAACGATTTATTTGGCGAATGTACTTTGACCCTAAATGGCTTTAAAATAAGCTGCAGCAATAATTGATCTTAGAAATTATCTGAATTTTAGTAAAAAATTACATTCTATGATGAGACCCACTTTTAACTCAGCAGCAATGTCAACTGAATAAAATACCACTATTTTCGCAAACAAAAAGCCTGAATGTATTCTCAAAATTCGGTTTTTGTTAAGATTCTTGACATGGCAGCAACATGGAATCTTTTTATTTTGCATATAAGGAAAATATTACTTTGAAAATAAGAAAATCGTTGTCGTTCATGGTTTAGATGAAAGAACGATCTTCAACAATCAACAAGCTATAGCTACATATTATATATCATCTGATCAAAATTGACCCGGATTGACAGAAAAAAACGTTTCGCATATTTGAATACAAATATTTATAATCGTCGGCGCCTGAGTCTGGTTTGACCTTCTGTGCCTTCAGCGAATTTTGGTTTTTTCGGTTTCAGCTCATATTTTGGAGCGCCATAAGATATTGATTGTAGTCATAAACCCAAGTTTTGTTATCAGTAATATTGCGTTTAATGAATGTAGGGTTCTCTGCTACGACATTTCTGCAAAAGATTCAGATCTTTTGGTATGAGTCTTACATTGACACGCTTCATACCCAAAACGTTAACCAAAATGTGTTAAGTCGTTACATTAAAAATGTTGAAACACTCTGCTATCTCTATGTTGTCAACATGACGGCTTTTAAGCACTGTTTTTTTAACTTTTTCGATGATAGCGTCATTTATAGAGGTGGATAGATCATTCTCATGAGGCAAGTTTTCGATGACTTTACGACCTTCACACACTAATTGACATATAGAGTTCTACCAATCCAGAAAAAAGAAATTGTATCACTCGGTTTGTACGCACAGTTCAAGACCAGATCAAATTTGAGCAGATGGTTAGTAAAAGCACAAAAGTAAGATCTAATTGATTTGGAAGTCTTTAGATTACTTCCTAGTTGAATAAGCAACATTTTTGCTGTCCACTAACCACCCAACCGTTAATTTTTAAATTTCCGTATGAATATTTCTAGTTCTCAGCACCAGAGGCATCAGATTAGTTAATACAGCGCACAAAAATATCTAATGTTCTATAAATAATAATAATAAATACTTTCTAGTAGTTCTTCACTGTGACTCTTTTCTATAAGAGTTTACATATGTGCCTCTGTATTCGCCTCTCTTGTGCTCAATGACCAACATAATCGCCGCACATTTCACTCGCAATTTACGATTAAACTTTATGCACATGTGATTCTCGCCTTTTAAGCGTGGCCGAGTGCTGACAAACATTTTTTATTTTCTACAGTGCTATGTACATATATGTATGTATGTATGTATGTGCATTAACTGTTTGCGATTATGCAAAGGCAAACGGCCGATGCGGCGGATGAAAACGGACAAAATTGCCTGACAATTAGTATGAAAATTTGCTAACAAACATTCGCCGGCGATCAGCGATCAGTCAGCTAAACAACACAGCAACAACAACAACAACACACGCAAATAGCCGCGCTGCAATGTGGTCATGTAGAAATGTTGGCGACGACAGCAACAAATGTGACGACAGACAATTTAGTGGCAGCAATGATGTTGCAGCAACAACGAACCGGCGAGCCGGCGAAGGTCCAGCAGCAAAAGCAGTAACTGCAATAATACAACAATAATAACAACAGCAAGAAAATATTGCTGCTGCAATTCAAGAAGACACCAGTGCTGATACAGCGCTTCACTGCCGAGAGAGAATGAGGGAGGCAGAGAGTCAGCGGGTGGCGCAGAAAGAAGCGCAACAAGAGGCAAGTAAGTGTGGGCAAGCTTGTACAACAATATGCACAAAGCAAATAGTGCATGCATATGTGTGGTTGCTGTTGTTGTTGCGCTAGCACTAATCTAGCAAACAGCACTTAACATCAATCAGCAACAGAAAACCACAACAGAAGTTGACATATGAGTAAACAAGCAATGCGTTGCAAGTGCTGCACGGAAGAGGAGAGCAGAAAAGAGGGGGGGAGTTGGGCGCGTATTTTCAAAAGAAAAGCGCCGCAAAGTAGGTACGAACCAAAAATGGCAGAGAATAAACCGAATTGCACTTGGTCTTGAGACACACTCACACACTCAGTAAATATCGCGACGACGCTTGAATGTAAAATTTGTTGTTATTGCTATTTTAACAGTGTATGTCAATTGCAGTTGTGGTTAGTGGACATGTGAGTTCCTTGCAGCGCAGCTGCAGTTGTTACTGTACTGTTTTATGCAACTGAATATAAATATATGTATGTAAGTTTGCAACAATAGCAATAGCAACAACAATTAACACGCGCAATTGCGGCTCAGAAATGCGTGAAGTATTGTCGATTGCATCGCAGAGCTGCCGAGTCGGTTAGTGATGAGCCGTAATGTGAGATTGCTGAATTGTTGTGACAGCTACTCGAGCAACAACAACACTTTAGGTGCAAGCAATGACAATTAGAAATTATGTGACACGCTTTTTGCTTTGTGTTATTAATTCGTCGTGTCGTTTTTTTTTTATCTTTAATTTTAAAATTTTCGCACATAAACGCAAGCAATTTGGTGTGATAAAATTTCCAACAACAAAAACAATGGTGCCCACATATATAATTTAGATTATGCATAAAATTGCATAAACCGCATATTGTTTGAGGTTAACACGCCCATCGAGTGACTAAAAGACACATATTTAATCAGGCGTAAATTGGAGGCAAATTATTTACGAGTTATCAGGAATTGGAAAATAAATATTTCAGCGCCTCAGGTCTCTGAAGCTCCAATTTTTGTTTCGCCCTTACAATGCAACAAGTGACCAAACTAGCAAACAGTTTTTTACGTGTTTATATGCAAATAGAAATTAAGAACACAAAATGTGTGTTAAAAACAATATGCCTTTGAAGTAAGTTGTGGTCGACAACAACAACAAATCCTAATAAGCAAAAATTGTAAAAGCCGCAAACTGCAACATTCGACAATGTCTACACGTCAGTCAGTCAACTCAGCAGCTGCTTTGTCAAACCATCTAACAGTCAATTCATTCAACACTGCAACGCATCCAAACGGCCGGGCGCCCATTCTACAGGCGGTAGTCAGTCCTTCAACTTGTTTAGCAGTCAGTCAGTACTTCAACTACAGCAGCGCATCACTGCCGCCATCAGTGCACATCAGTAGTACGAATGACGATCAAGTCGCGCTGCACTTTCAACATACTCAACACTTGAATGTCATGAGAGATTTTTCTACATGCCACAAGTTGCAGCAGCTACGCTTTGCACAATTGCGAGTCCGTAGTTGTGACTTTTGTTGTTGTTGCTGATATAGCTACAATGTCAACGGTTTGCATTTCTAGATTTTTATCCCGTTGCTCAATCGTCAATGACAAACGGGCAACAATTTGCTTTCGATTTATTAGTCGGAATATAAGTTTTAAGTTTATACCATGTTTTGATTTAAACTGTCATTATAACTGTACTCTGCATAAGCAAAGAAAAGGAAACTCTAAGTTTAAACATGACTTCATATTTTATCAAGATGTAATTTCCTTCAAACAAAAATATATATTCAAAAATGTCCAGCACTTTAAAATAGTTTAAACCAACGACTTCAGATGGCAAACATTAGGCTTTCGAAACGTACTTGAAAATTGAAATAAAATGTTTATACAGGGAACGTAAAAGAAATGTAAACTTAACCTTTCAAAATTTAATTTATCGGCTTAGGTTTAAACAAAAATGGTAAATTTTGTAAATTTACTTCTTATATAAACAAAACGTTATTAATAAAATAAATGTATCAAATAAACAAAACTAAAATTTTAATGCTCAATCATTGAATCACCCTACAATTGTAGCACGTGAACCAGAAAATAAAGTCTGCTTGCAAAATCGTAAACGGGCGAAATGTCAAAATATTTGTTTACAATTTTTAGGCGGCGTGTTTTCTTCAAATTACTAAGCTAAATATCTATCAGCAAGTAAAATATTATAAAATGAGTTTTCTTAAGCCAAAAGAACTAATTGAAGAGGGTGATACAGTAATACTATATCTTACTGTAAATTCAATGCATGCCATTGAAGCTACACCAACAATAGTCAACAAAAAGGGCGAAACCATTGAATATGTAAATAATTTTTGAATTAAATGATATTAGCTTATGTTAAATTATGTGAATATTTCATGTAGATCTTTCAAACTTCATACGGCGCGTTAAAAGTACGCAATCTAATTGGTGTCACTTATGGTTCGCGCGTGGAACTCTCAAAAGGTTGGGCCTATGTGCTGCAACCTAATCCAGAATTATGGACGCAAACGCTGCCGCATCGCACACAAATCATTTACACACCCGATATCAGTATGATACTCTTCCAACTCGAAGTTGGGCCAGATTCAGTGGTAGTTGAATCTGGTACTGGCTCGGGCTCACTGTCACATTATTTTTTACGTGCCATTAAACCTAATGGTCATTTACACACATTTGACTTCCACGAAGCGCGAGTGCAACAAGCGCGAGAAGAATTCGAACGACATGGTTTAGGTGATTTTGTAACCGTTTATCATCGCGATGTGTGTCAACTGGGTTTTAGCAATGAGTTAGAAGGCAAAGCGGATGCAGTATTTTTGGACTTGCCGGCACCTCAGCTAGCGGTACCATTTGCAGCTAAAACACTGAAATCGGAGGGTAAAACTAAATGCATTTTTGTGATCATGGAAATTCAAAAATATAAAAATATATTAAATATTTCTTTAGGTGGACGGTTTTGTTCATTTTCACCTTGTATTGAACAGTCGCAACGTTGTTGTATCGCTTTACAAGAACATGGATTCACAGAGATTCGTTCAATGGAAATACTACAGCAAGAGCATGTTGTTAAGACTAGAACATTGCCAGTGCTAGATTTAGAGTTCCTGAAGCACAAGGTAACTGTTATTAGCATTTATATGCACTAAGGTAGAGATAAATGAACTTAACATTTTATAGAAACCCTCTTCCCAGAAATTGGATGAATCGGGTACTAATGAAAAGGCAGATTCTGTAAAAACCCCTAAGGAAACCAAGAAAGTGCTCACATCCTGTGCGCCGCCTACACTACCAGGCCACACAGGATATTTGACATTTGCAACTCTGCCCCCAGCCTTCGTACGATAGCAAAAATTGTTCGACTATTCAATATTAAATATATGTATGTGTAGTGCGATAATACATGTTTACAAAACATAAAGTATCAGTTGTATGAATATTTTAATAAACCCCTAAAAAACTGTTAAAGAATGGCATGTAAGTTTTACCTTAATTTGGTTTAGATGATTTGAAACAATCAAAATTTAATGACACATGTTAAATGTACAATGAGGGCATTTTTCGGACTCACTGGTCGTTATGATATCCATGGTATGTATATATACATTTTACCAAGATGATATTCCACTCGAAATTTGAGCGTTTGAAAGCTACTGTTTATTTAGAAAGAAATGATTTTTGATAATTCGTAAGAATTCAAATTTATCGATTGATCCCCTTTAGTTTGTTGACAGCCCGTTGGTAAAAATATTTATGCTCAAATCTGTCTAACTATTCAAATATCAACCAACTTTAAAAAATAACTTAACGTGGATACGGATATATTATTTGCAAAAACAATGTTGGTGCAAATTTCGTTCGAAAAAAGGATGCTAAACATCAATGTTACATTAGTCTATCAGATATCGATTAGTTATCGATTAAAAATTAAATAAATTAATTCTCTATGTTAACACCTAATTTTGCTATCATTCAAACCGATTTTCAATTTTGGTAGCCAAAATTTGATTTGATATAGCATTAAATATAATTATCCTGAATTTTTAATTAATAAGAAAAAGTGGCGTTGATGCACTTAGACCACAATGCATCAACGACATAATTTTCAAATTGCATTCTGCAAGCTACGGGTGTTTGCCAAAGTGAGAACGCTATACTTTCTATTGCTTGAAGAAATATACACAATAAAAAGCTGAGAAACTGAAATGACGAATAACTGATTAGCACATTGCCCTTCCGTGCACTGTCAATTATTGTACTGAAAAAAAAACATCAAGTGGAGAAGCCGTGCATCTTTCAACAAACAAGAATTGTATGGAAAAGAAACAGAAAGTATATAGTCGAATCAACCACTTTCAGTACACGTATACAGGTAAAACAATTTCATGCTCAACGCAGCAGTTCGAAGTGCTGGCACATATCTGTATCGTGACCTGTGCAAATTTAATTACTCAACAGCTATTTCCTCTTGCCGACCATTCAATATAACCCCAGAGCAGCTACAAAAATTGGCGCAGATTTGTAGCAAATCAATATTACGTTCATTCAACAAAACAAATAAAATAATTATGCCAGAAGAGCAAAAGCCTCAAGTTGTATTTGTGTTGGGCGGCCCCGGCGCTGGCAAAGGAACACAATGCTCCAATATCGTAGAGCGTTTCCAATTTGTACATCTCTCTGCCGGTGATTTACTGCGCGAAGAACGTGCACGTGAGGGTTCCCAATATGGCACATTAATAGAAAGCTACATACGCGATGGTAAAATCGTGCCTGTTGAAGTAACATGCTCACTGCTGGAAAAAGCGATGCAAAACTCGGGCAAAAATAAGTTCCTCATCGACGGTTTTCCACGTAACCAAGATAACCTTGACGGCTGGACACGTCAGATGTCGGACAAAGTCGATTTCCTATTTGTGTTGTTCTTTAATTGCGCTGAAGATAAATGTGTGGAGCGTTGTTTGGCTCGCGGTCAAGCTGGTTCCGGACGCAGTGATGACAATTTAGAGAGTTTAAAGAAGCGTATACAAACGTACAACAACGATTCATTACCGATTATCAAGCACTATGAACAACTTGGAAAAGTGAAACAAATCGATGCTATTCCAAGTGCTGATGAAGTTTTCAAGAATGTAGAAAAAGTGTTTGTCGACGCAGGTTTCCAATAGAAGGGCTACGTGCAATTAAGTATACAGCCACTACACCTACCTTGATCTGCAATATCATCCAGGTTAAAATGTTGCGGAAATTGTTACTATTGCATATTAAATTGTATCGAATTGGATATTAGAAAATACTTAATTTTACATACGCATGTACATTAAAACGTGTGGTGTTTTAATCGTTTTAAAGTATATGTACTCAAGGTCACGTTCTGTATACTTGCCAATGAAGCCTAAATTTAAATTATTCTACAACTGTTTGTTTACTATTGATAACAGTAATACCGTATTCTTACGATAGGGTCAGTTTGTGAACACTATGCTTATTGTATGCAATTTAGTTATAAGTCATGCAAATATATTAAAAAATATGTAATATTTGTGTTTTGCAAAGTTGTTAAATAAATTTCAAAGGTATATTATCGGTCAAACATGCATTATTTGCAAACACACACACACGTTTGTACAAATTAGGCTTGATAAGAATGACTAGCCCTTTATATAAAAGCGAAATTTCATTGGGCGAGCGGCTGATATTAAGAAAGCTCCATAAAGTAATACAACTTTTAGAAAGAGAAGGCAGGGAGAGGTACATTCAGTGACGTCTGTGAAACTGCTGTGCGCTTATAAGATAAGACGATACTTGAAAAAAAATTACATACAAAACAAAAGATGATGAATAACCTTATCAATACATATTATATATATGCTAGTAAATCAACGATTAACTTATTTTATTAATTTAAGTTGAGGGAAATTATTAATGGTATTTATATTGATTACATATATAAAAATATGTGCAGCTTTGCTCATCTAATTTAGAAAATTCAATAATGTGTGAATCGAATTTATAGAAAATTCTTCAACGAAATTGTTATTGATTAAATAAATAAAATATTTTAAATAAAAGCAATTCGTTTTTCTAACAATTCAGACCACTGACGGATCTTTCAATTTTTTAACGTGTGTTTCAATTGTTCTGCCAAAAGGCTTACATACTTTTTATTATGTACATGAAAAATCTTTTATATGCACTTCGCTTTTTTAATAACGTGTTTGAAAGGAAATTAATTCATATAAAATTACCACCTTATTTCAGCTATTATTTAATATAAAACTTAAGATCATATATGCATAAAGTAAAATACTAATATTTAAAGTGTGTTACGAAGCGCAAATGCCTGCTTTCTGTTCAATCGTTTTCGAATAATTCCTAGTCCCGACGCAGTTTGTCCAAACGAGCTTGCAAATCGGCATCAGCATCGGACACTGGCGAAGATGCACCACTTCCACCAGCTGCTGCTGTGCTACCGCCATTACCACCATTGCCGCCACCACCTGCGCCCGACCCTATACCACCAGCAGCTACCGCAGCCGGTGTAGTCTTAGCGCCACCAGCAACAGATAATGATCCTGAGGCAGTGGGCAAATCTCCTAGTTGTTCACCGAGCTGTAAGCCTAATTCATCTAACACTTGCGAAACTACAGCATCGGTCTCCTCTTCATCACCCTCATCTTCCATCGCATCGTCAATGGCTTCATTGATCATTTCTTCTTTCATATCCATGATTTCAGATTGCTTTTCAAATTCATGTAATATCTTTTGAATTTGTGGGAGATTCAATTGGCGGTTCATATTTTGCATTGCCTTAGTAACGCCTAATGCAGCATAACAAAGAAGAGTGTACAACCATGTTAATTAAATAAAATTACGAAACTTCGTTATGAAAGCAGTTACTTACCGCGCATCGCTTGTGCCATGGTATTTTGTGATTTTAGAGTTTGTATTTTCAGCGAGACTGCTTGTATATTTGCCTTCATCAACATGAATTTCTTCACATAGCGCCGTGTGCGTACCAAATCTTTGGCCATAATTTTCACTGCATCCATTTGACCTTCCTTAGCCATACGTTTTATGTCCGCAATAATCTTTTTCTCCTGCTGCTCCATTTTCATACGTTCTCTGTCCAGTTCACGCATAGCTTTATTCAGGGCGCGTTGGTTCTTGCGTAGCATCTCATCCGGTGAGATTTTTTTACCAAATAACCAATCCATGATGAGATTTTATCTTGTTAATCTAATAGAAACTAAGTGCACAAAAATCTTTAGCAAAGTTGGAAAGGATTTTCGCTTTTCTTAGATTATGTTGAAATGATGACCAAATCCAAATAAAAAACACACACAAAAATAAATTACTCATCCACAAATGTCAACTGTTTACCAAGGATGACATGATACGAGACTCTCTCATTTTCGCTGATTTTTCTGTTATTCTCTTTCCCTGATTATTAAAATCAGGGAATTTCGAACAGCTGATGTCAAAAAAGGCGGGATGCCAGAAACAAACCAGCTAAAAATAGCTAACAAAAGCAGTGCGAAACAAAATTTCAAGGAACGACACAAATACATTTGAATAACGGGCAACTAAATTGTATTTGTTAATTTAATTTAAAACGTCCATTATAAAACCATGATCTTTTATTATGACTTGTTTTGTTTCTTTGTTATAATTTTTTTTTATTTATATGCAATTTTTTTTATGTTATATGATTTTTAAAAAATTTTATAATATAAATATACGTATATAGGGATGTATATGCGTTATAAAGGCCTACTCGGGGACGGAGCACCTAAAAATAATATTGAAATACAAAATACCCAAAAGTTTTTTTTATAATACCCAATCCATTTTCTTTCGACAGTGGCATGGTTGGCAAATGTTATAAAAAATGTGGGTTTTGACAGCTCTCTCTCGATTCAAAGAGTCTCGCATCATTTCATCCTTGTGTTTACTAAGGCAAATGTCATCCCGAATGGGAAGAGTGCGGCCAAGTTAATGTCTAAAAGTCTGGTTAAAAGCCTAATATATATTATATATTTTTTATATACAGTAAAAGAAAATTTTGGTCGAACTTCGATTTAAAAGTTTATGGATTAATTTCATTTTAGCTTTTTTTTCATGTGTTATAATATTGTCATTGTGATAATTGGTAAAATATTTGGTACTCAAACACATCTTTCAAAATGTCAATAGAAGCAAACAGCTGTTCATGTTTTCTTGACATCGATTTAGGGGAGTGCTGCAGTTGTAGAAATATTTTCTGTGTTTGATAATTAGAAATTAATTATAGATTTTTTATATCCAATATAAAATTTAGTCATAATGTCTGAAGTGATGAAAGATTTTGATAAACCTGACTTTAGTGTGGATAAATGTGAGAAAACAATGATTTCAATTGGCTACGAATAAAAGAATTAACTTTTTGTTTATTTTGGCTTGTAGACACCAAACAATTAGTTAAAGAATGTGTCGGAGGCGCAGACTTACAGCAACGCAAAAAGGATATTCAGGTTTACAGCGACCAAACATCAGCAACGTTAAAGAAATCCGTTTATGCGAATTATATGCAATTCATTGAAACTGCAAAAGAAATTTCACGTAATATTTATTGAACAATGGTTAAGTCCAGCTAAATATACAAATAAAATTCCATTATTTGCAGATCTCGAATCGGAGATGTATCAGTTATCACATATACTCATAGAACAGCGTAATATACTCGCCTCTCTTACTGACGAAAAGTCACCAGGGAATGCTCAGAATAATGAGGAAGGCGAAGAGCAACCAACACAGGAGGATGTGGAAAACAGTCACGCTACACGTGCTGTAAAGGAAATGGTGCAGGGTTTCAATGGCAATCTAGAGGGGAAAACTTTCCTTAACGAGGGTGCACTCATCGAACTAGACAGCAATGATTATCGGCCTATACAGCGGGTATTTTTCTTTCTGTTTAACGATGTGCTTATCGTATGTAAAGTAAAACATGACAAGTAAGTAAAGGAAGCTATTTATATGTTATCTTTTTAGTAAAAAAAAACGTTATGATTTAGGCGGCTGGAGTTTCTAACAGAATATGATCCCAAGAAGATTGCTGTGATAAATATCAAAGATTTAGATGGAGTACGCAATGCAATAAACATAATAACACCAGATGGCTCGAAGATTTTCCAAAGCGTTACTGCTGCGGGCAAAGTAAGTTTAGTTATTGTATTCATAATGTTAAAAATTGCTTAAATGATATAATTAACACGCAGACGGAGTGGATAGAGAAATTGGAAGTTGCCTTTCGTTTTGACCAACAGAAGAAAACCAACAAAAAAGGGCCGGCACCACAACCACCCAAGGCGAAACAGTCAACGCAACAGCAAAAGGATTCGCCAAGTGACGCCAAATCGTTAGTCTCCGATCTCAGTCCCTCGGATTCGCATACTGGCAAAGCTATTGAAAACTATGGACCCGATTGGATACATACGGCCAGCGAAGAAATACAAACACTTGTCGCACAAAGATATTTTGAAGATGCGCAGGCGTTAATTAGACGCACCCAAGACTATATAGCAAAAGACTCGAGTTTTGTGAATGCAAAGCAAATAACGGAAAAAGTTAAAGCCTTAGAAACACAGCTGACAGACGTACTGCTGCAAGAACTTTCCAACTGTCATTGTCGTAATTTGCAAGTCACTTTGCGTGCCTCACGGCGTTCGCTAAAGATACTCGTCGATATAGGACGTGCGCGACAGGCCTGCGGTACGCTACTCAAAGTGGCCACAATGGCGCTACGTACAGCACAGCGTGAGGCGCGACGCAACAACACCGAGATATCGGAGTTGTTCTTCTGCGATCTGACGCAGGTGGCATGCGAATTCTTAACTGCCTTCGAAACACAACCGGCATGTGTCGGCGGTGCGTACTTTACATGCGTTTGTCTATAAATCATAAATATTTGAACAATTTTCTTATAGCACTCGTGGTGTGGTGCAATGCTGAACTGCAGTATTTCGCCAGTCAGCTGATAAAGCATTATCTTACCAAAGGTACGCACTTGGATGCTGTAGCGAAATGCATTGAGGGCATACGCAAGCCATGCGCTAAGGTTGGTGCAGTAGATTTTCGTTTTCAATCATTTTTTTATTTGCTTATTTCCACTGCCAGCTGACAGAAATCGGTTTAGACCTCTCATACCACCTTGAAGGTCTCTTGCGCAGCACACTGGAGTCGCTTATCGAGGAATCACGTATGCGTTTGCTGGAAACAGTTGGACGTAGCGAAGACACTTGGCAACCATACAATTTGCAAACCAAAAGCAATCTCAAACGCTTGCTATTAGAATTGGATGCGCTTGGCATCGATATGCGCACACATACCACCGGCGATACATGGATCAATCTCACGCAGTCCACAGTGTTGTTCACACGCCACTATCTGCAGTTGACGGCACAATGCGCACACTTGGCCAAAAGTGAGGTGCTGTGGCCCAGTTTAGAAGTGCTTTTGCGTGATCTGATGATGGCGCAGCAAGCTGTAAAGCCGGTCACAGGCCTGAGTGTGGATGTAAGTAATGTTTTTTTTTAAATTTATTTTTACATTTCATATTTCCTGCCTGTATGCATTCTTTTATTATTTATCTTACGCAGCCCAACTTCGTGCTGAAGAATAAGCTATACCTGCTGGAAGAATTGCTGCCAATCGCTATGGCCAATTTCCGTAGCATAAGTGGTAGTGAACGTAACTGTGAAATGCTTTTGGATTTGCAGCGTCATTTGCGCAAACAGTTGGCGCCTGTGCCCAAGCAGCGTAGTGTCTATCAAACTGATGTATTTTGAAAAGAGATCACAGCCATTTGAAAAGCACAAAAACAAAAATAGCTAACGTATTTACATATATGTGCATATGTACATATACGCTAAAAAAAACAAACGCATCGATATGCTTATTTTCGCATTACTTTGATTACACATATATTTTTTCATTTTATTATCATTATTATTATAATAATAATTATTAATTTAAATTTATATTATATAATAATTATGTACATAAATAACCACATTAATAAATTTTAATCGATTATTTGCTGCGTTTTTTCCACAAACCGAAATTGCATATTGTGTGCAGCGTGCGATTTTCTAGTATTTTAGCTGGTTGTTGTTGTTGTTGTCTGCCAACAAAACACGTTTCCTCATATTTGTAATGTTAAATTTTTTGTATTTCTTTTTTTGTTTTTTTTTGTATTCGAATTGGCTAACAAAACATTTGCCAACAATGCACACAAACTAGCCCACAAATAAATATGTAAACGCCGTGTTGCCTTCTAAAGGTTCTTATATGTGTAGGTATGTATATGCAGTTTTTCACCTTTTCTTTTAACTACATTACAGTTATGTGTATTTAAAGCAGTGTTGGTTTGAAGTAAAACGTTAAAGCGTTGCACTCTCAGTTTTTGCGTTGATTTTTTTTATTTTTATTTTAACTTTTCTTTAGCTTACGAATGTAAAATTTACTTTTTATATTTAGTTAATAAAAGTACACAGTGTTTATATATATGTATATAACCTATGTATGTACTTCAAATATATTCTACATATAAATTAAAAGTAAAAATTAATTTAGTTTTTTTTCATGCATTTCGTCACTTTACTTTGCATTTTTCGACTTTATCGTTGTGTGAGTGCGTTCTTCTGCGCATGCGCACATACACAGGTGCATACAAGTGGGTGTGTGGATTTAAGTAGCTGTTGCAGCGAAGCGTAAGTATAAATAAAAATCAAAAACAAAGAAACCGGTAACGTTGACTTTAGCATAATTTTCAGAAAATAACGGTTTACTATTTACATTGTATACAAATTATATTTCTATATGTTTATGTTATTTTTTTCGAAATAAAATTTTATCGCAATAAAAATAACTTGCTTTGTAATTTTAAGTGGCAATAAAATTAATTTTTTATTATTTACACACATAAATGGAAAATGACTCGAAAAATACCATTTACCGAGGCACAACTGCTAAAAGCTCCTTTACGGAAAACAATTGGAAAAAATATGTGGCTTAGAATTTGCAAAAAAAAAAAAAAAAATTACCCAGAGAAAGTTAGTTGAGCTTTAGCAAAAAATTTTAAACTTCCGATAGGCAACAAATATAATACGTTGTTGTTTCGGCAGCAATAAAAATACGCCAATAAGTTTTGGCAATATAATAGCTGTAATGCCACAACTTGGTCGCATGCAAATTTTTAAGCATTCTACTACCGTGGTCCGACTCTCTTAAGCAAGCATAATTTTTCATATTGTTGTTTTTTTTTGCAGGTACGAACCATCACGAAGGTTACAATTAGGCATTCACAGATGTTCGATGTTACAAAATTTATTGAAACATTCGAAAATCTAAACTTTTAAAGTTATTTATAAACCAGCATAGATTTAGGCGCACATATGAAAATTTATAAAGTTAAAACGTTTTTAAATCCAAAAAAAAAACAAAAAGTGAGAAGTTTAAAATTGTTTTGTTTAAAATTTTTGCACCATATGGCAGTTGACAACTCGAGTCTCAAAGAATGGCCGTTATCTTTAATGTCAAATTTGCCGCTCAAGCACAACTTATTCTAACACTTGTACCAACTAACAACTTAAATATGAATATAACGGTAATTATGTGACTTTTTTCAGTTATATATGTATATATACTTTTTATTTATATTCAGTTAAATTTACGCTTCGCACTCGCTGCTTTTACAAGTATATTTTCTTTTATCATTTCATTGTCATACCAAATTTATTTTCGTTACTTAATTACATAATGCATGTTTTATTTGAATTTAAATTTAATTACTATATATAAGTATTTATATTTATATATGGATATATATACATATATATACTTTTATATTTCCATGTGTATGCGCGTGTGTGTGTATATGTGTAATTTTTTTTTTTTTGTTTTTGCTTTTTGTTGCATACTATATGCACGTTTTTGGAAGATTGAGAAATAGAGCAGTTCAGAAAGTCTGCAAAATAGGTGAAAAAGCGGAATGGACTGTGTGAGAGAAAAATAAAAGAAAGAAAATAAAGAGTAAATAGAAGTAAAAAAAAAAAAAAAAAAAAACTCAAAAGTAGAAAATTAAGCAACCATAACTGTGTGGACGGGGCGTGTATGTAGCCGAAGTAATGCTTGAGCTCGTTGGGTTAGACTTGCAATAATTGCCACACAGCTGCGCGCTAACCAAGTCGAATAGCTAATTACGAAAAACGCTTGCGATTTTGAATGAAATTTTCATTATTTTGTGCAGCAGCGACATGTTTCTGTAGTTGTAGTAGTGCAACACTGTGGCAATTACTAACTGTAAAGCAAAAAATTTATGCTTTTTAATAAAGCATCTTCACTTTGTTAATTCGTTTGCCGTTGTTTTCACTTCTTTGTTGTTGTTTTGGTTAACGCTCTGCAAATACGCGCATTAAACGCATATGTACATATATACTTAAGTGTTATTTTCTATTCCATTTTGATACGACGTTTCTTTACTATAATTTAATTTATTTAAATTTAAAGTTCTTCGTTTATTCATTTTTTCATACAGTATTATCGTACGCACTTAAACTACACAAAAATATATATATTTATATATATCTATGTATATATGTAGACAATTAAAATTAAAGAATAAAATAAAATAAAATATCAATGCGCTTAAAATGGACAAGAAAAAATTATATTATATATTAAAATCATAATAAATCATTAAAACTAGGTATTTAAGCGTTTACATACATACATGAAGAAATGATATTTGAAATTTTTTATTTAAAAATATACAAGTAAAATGTTTAAATGTTGCAGAAAACAAAAAATGAAAAATTAGAGCAAGAAGAAAGCTCGAATATAACAATCAACAGAAAGCATGAGGCATGCGGAAGCTATTACGAAAAGTAGCCAAAGAAAACTATAGTGTCTGCGTAAGAAACAATACATACACAGATATGTTTGGAAATTAGCTTAGCTTAGAAAACAAATTACAGAAATTATGACGCGGCTGCCTAAAAAAAAGTCAAAACCAAAAAAAAAAAAAAATTAAGACAAGAAACGTTGCGCGAATGCTTGTTTGGTCTAGGTCTAAGGCGACTCGACGCAGCGCAACTAGTGTCACAAGCGGCACTGCGCAAACTGTGACCGACCGGGCCATATATATGTACATACATATGAAACGACAGGCGACAACTTATGCTTTTTCTAAGCATTTACGCGAAAGCTGTGTAAAAACATATTTCGTTAACAGTTCAATAAAATCCCTGAACATAGAAGTTTTAATTGTAATTTTTCGTTTTTTTTTTACAATTTATTTTGTGTTATTTTTCTCTTTTCTTTGCTACATTTCTTTAGTCACTTGTATAAATATGCAATATAAATAAATTATATGCAAATAATGCAGTAAAATATGTGCTAAGAACAAAATTGTTTGTTGTTGAATTGTTTCGACTTTCCATGCAGCAACAGTTTTAGGGTTATAGCAGCGTGCATACATACAAACATACATATTATTAACCTTGGAAGTGGCATGCATGCGTACTGTTAACTGTTTGCAAGCTGTCATTTGTCAACAGGCCATAAAATAAACAAATTCTGTTGACCCCATCCACATGGCTCACACATTCGAGTAGTCCAGCATACTTTTTGTCAATGAATAAGCAAACATTTTTCTTTTACTGCTTTACTGTGCCGCACATGTTTTGCAGTTATGTATTTATTTCGTTTGCTTAAGTTACGGTGTTTTTGTTGTATGTTGTTGTTTTTTTTTTTTTGTGTTTTTATATTTTATAATATTTTAATAAGTTCCTGCATTCTTGCGCTTCTGCTGCGCGTTTTGCTTAGTTTTTAATTATTATTTGTTGTTTTCTTCTTTCTTCTTGTCTCTTTAACTTTACTTAAAATTACTTAAAAGCTACAATTTGTTTATGTTATTATTTATAATTATATATTTTCAATTTTAATTCTTATTTATCGTTTCTTCTTTACCTTTTTCGTATTTCTTGTTACTATTTTTCATTAAACATGATTTCCATGTACGTCCGCTTATAAGAATATTCATTGTCCCTCCTTACCCAAACTCTCTGCACTCTTGCTTCTGCAATTTTCTGAATTGAATTTCTTTCTTTCTTTTTTGTGTTGTGTTTTTTTGTTTTGTTTTGCTTAGCTTTTCGTGAGTCCTATCAAAAGCCACTACTACAAAGCGAACTAATCATTTTTCATTGCCCTGTCGGCACGACATTCGCGTTTGCGCGCTCATACATTGATACATATTTTCGTCAGTTTGTTTGCCATTGTATATGTGTATGTGTGTGTATGTATGATCGCTGCTGTGTGGTAATATAATTGTTTTGCACAAAAGAAAACTTAGCATTTCTTCTTATAGGTTTATAGCAAAATTAAACAAATTAGAACTTATTAGTAAATAACTTCGTAAACCGTTGCTTTTTTGTCGCCGGAGCCCGTCACAATGTATTTGTCATCGGTTGATATGTCGCAGCTAAGTACGGATGAAGTTTCTTTCGACTGCAAAACAGAATTAATACATACAAATAAATATAAATATAAATAAGTTTGTGAAATTGTAACACGAAGCGAACATACCTGGAATATGCTTGCACCGTATGGTGTTCGCCAGGCATTCAATAGATTGTCCTTGCCAGTGGAGACGAACCATTTGCCACAGGTGGCGAAGCGTAACGAGAGCACACAACTTTCGTGTAGATGCAGTTGATATTTGTCTGGCTTGGATGCGTGCAATACTTCGACATGTGAGTTCTCCATACCCACAGCGAGCCATTCGCCTGGTGGAAAAAAATAATAAATAAAAGAATGTATCATTAAATATT